TTTTTTTTTTTTTTTTTTTTTTTTCACGTTTGATTCAATTATGTCCTCTCCTTCACTTGATGAATGTTCCCTGTATTTTTTTGTTTGCACATTTTTAGGCCTTAACCTATTATCTTCTGTGAAAGTGATTTTAAGTTGTACATGTACATATGTAGGGTTATGGTATTTTGTCAAATAATGTATCATATTATCTTACCATCTTGTCAATTTAAGCTCCTAATAAGTAAAAATAATGACAAAATTGTTAGATAAGAAGACATTCATGATTTTGACGGAAGTACAATAATATCTACCATTCGAATCGCACAAATGATAAAACGTGAATTGTAGAAGAAGATCGATGCACAAAGCGTATGATTCCGAGATTTAGTTCTCTTGGGCGGTTTAGATTTCCAGTTTGCAACTATATGAAAAACTTTAGCTTACAGAAATAAAAGCTATAAGTAGGGTTCAAAACCCAAGAGACAGAGAGAGATTATCAGAAATTAAATTGGTACTATCGCAAGGACCACATCCGTTGCACTAGACACGGCGTTTGCCCATTGAGACCACTGTACTTGGAAGGGGGCTGTAATTGAAGAAGAAGAAGAAGAAGAAGAAGAAGAAGAAGATCATCTGATTTATTGTCCTTTGAGTTGAATTTTCAGAGAGCTTTGGCTGGATATTAAAGCAGCTGCTATTGCCTCAGTGTTTTGTTTTAAAAGGGTATGGGGACACGGTTATCTTTGTATCAAGGTAGGGTGGGGCTAAACAAGCCCAGACCGACTTAGTATTAAGTTATTCTGTTGACTTTTCTTTCTTTCTGTCTCTCTCTCTCTCTTATTGGAAATGATCAGCCCGTTGAGACTTGAGGCGCAAGTAACAAAATAAATCTCAATAGTATGCACCATTATGAACTTGAATTATTGGACTGAGTAAAACTCTGACATATTTGATTAATACGTGATCATTTATAGTGAGAAGAACGGCGTGTCTTCCTAGGTAGTTGTAAATTTTTGAAGGAGGATCTTCCCAAATACCAACTTGAACTAATACTGGGATTAACTTTAAGTAAACAGAAATTGAAGATTTTGGACTGCAAAAGGTTGAGCCATGTCTCATTGGACAAAAAGAGTAGAGAAAGGGACCCAACCCAAGTACAGGTTTTGCAAGAAGAAGATCTGATTTTACCAATACAGCATCATTTATCTCCTTTGGAGAGACAAAGTCTAGTCAGAGAAGGCATGCAACTTGCATGTGGGTCTGATTATCCGATGTATGAAATGGAACCTCGTATTTCACGATGCAATTTACCAACAGTAAAAGGTGTTTTGAACGTTAAAATTACCAACAACCCAGCCAGTAGCAAGAACCCTTTTGTGTAAAATTTGACCAGGAAAAAGATTTACAGGTTCTGTTGGCCGGAGATTCAAGAAACATGCCGGGATTTCACCTGAAAAGCAAGCTGACAATGTCTGGGAATTTCTGAAAAAGCAATGGCCCCTCTCACCCTTTCTCTTTCCAGGAGGTCTAGGACTAGGTTTATAGACTGTTCACTTAATATAATGGTTTCTAGGTTTTGGGTTTTGGGGTTTGGGGCAAGGCAGAGGCCAACATCACCCTCGATTTACTCTCTGCTCTCACTGTTACGTGTTCTCATCAGAGTCAGAGTCCCCAATATGGGTCAATGACTTAATGCTGCCGTGCTATGTTTCACTTACTAAATAAACTCATAAATCCCTTTTCCACCCAAAAGCCCTCTGTGAAATTGGAGTTGGCGAAAACAAAATGCAAAACCAAATGTCTCTCAAATGACTAGTGGGTGCACCATTCAACATGAAAATGACTTTAGCTTTTAATGTGGATTAGTTCAACGGGGTAAATATGAGACGAGCTGTGTGAACTCGAAACTTGAATATTTCCAGGCTCGTTTCTTTAAGAAGTACTTTTGTTCATAAGGGTTTTTAACAAAAGCTCGTTTATTATAAAATTTTTGAATTTTCTTAAAAAATACAAGTGCTTCAGAGAAAAGCACTTGTAAATCTTTCTGTCAAATAATGTTAAAAAACGCTTTTAGAAGCGCTCCCAAATATACATTTATTAAGGTCCCACCTAAACGTATTTCCGTATGACAGAATAATTTATCCCCCACCATAAACGGTTGATAGTTTATATGGAATAACAAACAAATATCTCATACGAGTCACAGGCGCCACTTCAGCAAAAATCAAAAATTATAGGATCAACCCAAAATCTCGCATCATTCATTCAAACTCTTTCTTGATCATCATCATGCCTTCAATTTCAAAACAAATTTACAAAGTGATTAATTAACTTAATTATATAGACTACAGAGCTTAATTTACTAACAAAACTCAAACCACTCTCCGGCACTCAAATCTGTCGAAGCATTTCATTCAAAACAACAAGGCGCACCGCTTTGATCACAAGCACCTTCGAAGTAATCCTCCACGTCATCCCACTTACACGACCGGAAATCGAGCGACAAATCGGAGAAATCTTCATCTTTTAACAGCATTTCCGGTACGACTCTCATTTCGTCGAAAAATATCGGCGCGGGAGCCTCCGGTTCAAAACAATCGTTCAGCAAAAACTCGGACTCAAACGCCCCGAAATCATCTCGCTCCGAAATCCCGACCGGTCTCCACTCGATTTCGGCCTCACCAGGGCTCAAAACAGAGGTCGGCGAACGAAGACTGTGATCACACTCGCCGATCACCGCAACGGTGGGCGACGTTTCCCAAGAAATCGGTTTGCAGTCGTAGTCCGGAGTGGCCGGTACGGCGATTTCGGGTGGCTTGATGAAATTGGTGAAGGCCAGATGTCCTTTAAACGCAATGGCGGCTCTGTCGTAAGCCAAACCGGCCTCCTCCGCCGTGTCGAACGTTCCGAGCCAGACCCGGGTCCGGCTAGTGGGGTCTCGGATCTCCGCCGCCCATCTCCCCCACCGCCTCTGCCGTACGCCTCGGAACTTCTTCCCCTTCGGCGAAACTTTGTTGCTTTCGTCATTTGCTCTGCACCTCGGAGCCTTAGGCTTGGAGAAGAGCCTCGGAGCACTGCATTCTTCGATTCTGATTTCGTTGATCGTGCGCTTCACGACGATTCGGTCTTCGGCCTCGTCGCCGGAGGAGTCGGTGGCGTCGCCATCGGTGACAGAAATCCGTACAATTTTGGGGGCTACGACATTGGATTCTGGGAAATGATTGACGAGCTTGGTTGTGATGTTTCGATGCTCTGTGTACTTGGTTCGATTCATGGCTGTTGCAGACCAAGAGAAAAATCTAGAAATGAAATGAGAAGAAGAAGAGAAATTTGCAGAGCAAATGTAACTGATGAAGCATTAAGAAAAAGTAAAAGCTGAGAATAAATAAGAGCTTCAGAGAGAGATAAGAGTGAGTGAGAGAGAGAGAGAGAGAGAGAGCAGAGGAGTCAAAATGCCAAGAATCGCAGTTTTATAGGAGTATCTTAGCAGCCTCCAACATTTTCGTTTTTCCTCTTTTATTAAAAAATAATGTTTTTTTTTTCTTTAACAAGTAATTAAATAATTTTAAATTTCATTCCTAATTAAAAAACAAATAAAAAAACACGTTTTAATTAAGATTCGTTTTTTAAATTTGGGGTTCATTTTTTTCGTCTGGGAAGTTTTGAAGCAAGAGATTATGGTATGTAAAGTTAAAACAATGTCGTTTCATGGATACTTTATCAAATAGATTATGATAGGTGGTTAAATCCGAGTTTTTGGTGAATGGATTTACATTAAACATTTGGGAATATTTGAACTTAAAATTGTTAAATTTAAAATATTTATTTGAATATATATCTCATAGGAATAACCAAATTAGAAAACTAAAATTAAATGGATATAGAAATTGAAAAGTTATTTTTTGCTTGGCGACCAAGTTTCTGCTCTTCCATTTTCCATTTTTTCTTTTTTTTGGGGGGGGTACCAAATGAAGTCAACCTCTAGTGATTTTTCGTTTTAATTTTGAATTGCTTGAAAAATATTTGAAGTTTTATTAATAGACAATAAATTAATATTGTGGGCCCCCGTTGATGCTTGCGCTCCACGAAACAACTTAAAAACATTTCCCAGTTCCCACAAAACTACAAATTTGTCTCTCAGTTATCCCCTTCCTCAGTTACCTTATTTGATCAAAATCATTAATTTATTTTCACCAAAAAGAAAAAGTCATTCATTTATATATTCCTCTTTTAAAAATAATTAATTAATTAAAATTCTGTCACTCCAAAAATACGGGTTGTTGACCAACAAAGACCATTCATTTAATGCTGAAATATTTTTGAATAAGGAAAAATAAGAAATAAAAATGAAAGAAAATCATTTGGGTCAATTTTGGGCTGTAACGTACGGATTTTGTGGCTTGGGAATTGGTTTCAATGAAACTGAAAAGACTTGCTCTTCTCTGCTGTGATTTGTTGCTGTCAACTCTTCACTGTTTCTCAATTTTGCCACACATCACGTTCCTTTTCAATCTTCTCCCTTTTTTTTTTTGTTGATATTTTCCCAATTAATTTGAAACTTGAAAGGCTTCATTTTTGGGGGTTTGCTCTGACAGAAATTGCCGCTATTTTCATGAAAGGCAGGGGATGGGCAAGGAGATCAGATTTTTTGCTTGGAAAGAGAAACATGTAGCAAAAAAGTGGGTTTGTTTTCAGCATGCAAAAACCAGGATATTTCCTCACTTGTTTGTTTCACTTCCTTTATGAACTTTATTTTCTAGTGTATGCATAATCTTTGGCATTATTTTCAATCCATGTTCAAATAAAAGCTTTTTATAAGCAATCCTTCTTAATAAAAGTGGAAAAGTTGTCTTACCTATATCTACTTCAAATTTCAAAAATTAAAAATGTTCTTTGAAGCAAAGGACGGTTTGGAGTAAATGCTCTCCGCATAAAAGGTCGTGGTCGAGTCCTAGCATGTGTGTAATATGTGTGAGTCTAGTGTGCTATCGCCCTTTTCAATAGGATATGTTCTAAAAAAAATAAAAATAAAAACTCTTTGAGAGTAAGAATTGACTTGTGTTGATAGCACATAATGCATCAAGTTGAAACTTGGTAGCAGAAAGAAAGCCAAAAAATATGTGGTTTATTGAAGAACATCTTAACAGCTAGGGGAACTTTTTTCAAATAAAGTTCTCAATATGGACAGTTTTTTCTCGGAGTGGAGCATTAAAGACTAAAAATTAGAGGAAATAAAATCACAACTTGGTTGACTTGAAGGAGTCGCACTCAAACTAATTCATCAGTATCGGAAAAAAAAAATTATCAAACATTTCATCTGGCCTTTCCCAATTTGGAGGGTTGAGAAAGACATAAACAATGTCTTCCTGTAGGACCTTGACTCTTCTAAGTCAATGGCCCCAATCATGCACTTAAACAAAATTCTAAAATTGGTTTTAGTTTTTCAATTTCATTTTTTTGGCTACAATATAGAGGAAAAAGAGTGAGAATGAGAGTGAAGATGAGATTGAAAGGGAAGATTAGAGGGGAGGATGGCAAGTATGAGTAATAAAATTGTTTTCACTTTTGTTACTCCTCTCTCAATCTCTCTCTCAATCTCATCCTCACTCAAATTTTCCTATATACTCTAGCACAAAAAGTGAAAACTAAAAAGTAAAATTGAAATCATTATCAAACGGGCCCAAAGAAAAGCTCCATGAGGTGTTACACAGGCTTGATCATTATATGGAAGTTTTAGCTGTATTGCTTAAACCAGGAGTCTTGGAACATTCTTCAGAAAATTCAATCATGTTCACGCAAATGGAGCAGATCAGAAACGCCCTCCTTTCACGTAGACGCTAGAGGGAAGGACCAAATTTTATGCAATTTTATGGTCGTAGCAGCACCTGGTTCTGCTGTCCAGTACAGTAGTTCTGGCATTAGGGTTAATATATTCTCATACAACAAATCATCTTGGGGGCGTTAGGTTTCAATGTCAACAAACTTCTACTTTCACATGTAGACAGCAAATTGAACATTAACAGCTGATATTTCATAGTTGCTACGATAAGTATCCATTAAACCACCTAAAACATTGTCATCATTTGCGAGGTGTACATGTAGATATATTCTTCAATGTCTATTACAAAAGTTCGGACCACGCTTCTTTTATACATAACAAGAAATACAAGGAATACAAGCCGACGTACTACATGCCCTCGCTACAAAGCACACTAACCCATTGCGTACTTCTGGGTCCAGCTCCTAGCAGTTGTCTCGTACTTTGCCCGGTCTGTCTTGTACATATGAGCAATTTCTGGCACCAGGGGATCATCTGGGTTTGGGTCCGTCAACAGGGAACAAATGGATAGCAACACCTGAAATAGGAAACAAGAACCTTTCCCACCCTCTTAAAAACCAGCAGATATAAAAGAGTGAATAGGGTACAAAGCAACCATGCATTAACAAATGAGCCATTCCCTGTCAGTGCCCTCACTCTCAAAATGTTTTGCTACAACAATGGAGAGCAGATCCAGTTGCATATGCTCCTGAATGGAAATCCAGATGAGGGGTACATGGTGAAGATTAATTTATAAATAATTTGTACCCATCTAATTTTCCTAGTAAGCCTACTTCCCAAAAAAATGCTGGACAAAGTATTTAACCAGACACACCACAATCTGGACTTCAGCATGGAAAATATGGGATCTGTGGGGTTCTTCATGGTAATCACCACGCTGGATCCATGTGGATTAGGGAAATTGAAAACCTATATCATATTAAATCATAACAAGGTCATTAAGAGATCAGAACCTTCGATATGGTCAGAGCAGGGCTCCACTGCTCTTTCAAAATGTCAAGGCAGATACTTCCATTGCTGTTGATATTTGGATGAAAGACCTTAGTCCTAAACGCAACCTGCAAAGACAATTACGTGACAGATATATAACAAGTTAAATTTCGTTTAGTGGTTTCTAGAATTTTTGAGCAAAAGCATTGGAGACAATAACACATGATACACAATTAAAATTTCTTCCCCAAGGATCAATTTGATCCAAGATCCAATGTGCCTGGAGGGATCAAGAGTATTTTCTCAGGCCATGACCAGCAGAGCCCAAAGTCATACACAGAATCGGCCCCGCCAATACAATGGGCAGTCGCTAGGACTAGGCCAAGGTTTCCTGACTCAGTCCAAGACCCAAGCCAATATGCCTGACTTGAGTGCCTAAGGCTTGGCCCTATATGTTTATAAGAATAAGAATGTTCAAACACATACTCATACTGTTTAGTAGTTTATAATACAAATGTCTAATAAGCCCTTGCGTGAAGATCTAAGAGTTTATAGGAATCATCACCACCTACCAAAGCAAACAATTTTGTCTTCCCTATCAAAGAGCAATAACTTTGCCACATGCTAAAAACAAATAGACAGAAAATTAAAAAGTTGTGGATGATTAAGATTATTCCACCAAACCATTTAAGGCACACTAAAGAACTCACAAATACTACAGTATTGCAATACCACAACATGATCTAGTGGTTGTGCTCAGAGGTCAGTATGCCTATGTCCTGGACCTATTGTAATCCATCTAAACTTTTTCTATACACCAGATATGGTTTCGAAAAGTTATTCAGCCTAACTTATTATTGCTCTTAACATCACTAATTTGATAAAATGTGGTTCCCTTTTCTGTTCTAGTTTCATAGACAGTGAGTTGTAGATTTGGGATTCAATTCAACATTAGTCAAACTGATAAAATTTTAAATAAAATACAAAACCAGTATTTTTTCAAAAATTCTGACAAAAATTTCCGATGTTTCCCAAAACAATAAGCAAATTTTCTCTGACATTGTTGATGTTTAAGACCAAACCAGTAGTTTTCTTGAAAAGTTCAAAAGAAATACATAATTTTTCCTGCTATTGCTGATGTTTAATACCTCACACATCATTCATTGGATCTCTGGACAATGCATGAATACTAAAAGTCAAACACACCCCACCCCCCACCCCCCCCAAAAAAAAAAAACCCAAAACTAAAGGGTCAGGGAAAAGGGGGGGGTGGAGAGAGAGCAAAAGTTACCAAAAGCACAATTGGTTGGCATGAAACTAAATTAGAAACTTGTATAAAGCAAAATAAAATTGATGTCATACCTTAGGTGGTTTGAATGGATAATCAGGAGGGAAGTGAATGGTAACTAGAAAGACACCCCCTGCATAAGGACTATCTGGGGGGCCCATTATCGTTGCTTGCCAATGGAACATGTCCTCAGCGACAGGCCCTGTCATCAAAGACAAGTAGTGTACCTCAAAATCGTCTCATAGCAAACAATTCCTAATATATTATTATAAATAAATTTATTACACAACGTTCAAATGCATGCCTTATTCAGCAACTAGAAATAATCAAAACGGCTCTGTTTATCTACAAATTCTTCTTACTTCCATAGTTAAGTAAATTCAGAAAGAAAGAAAAAAATCTTTCTACAAAATTGTTTATCTTTGTGTCTTAGTTAGGACACAACTCAATGTCAGGTCAATGGTTATCAACCATGACAAATTCACCATAGGCTGCAATTCCCTTCATATAATAAATAGTATGCACTCTAATCCTTGACACAATTATCTGCATGGCTCAAGTCAAATTTCGATTAGCACATTACAACACCAAAACTTCACAATTTTACAACAATTTTTCCACAAATTACATTTGAAGCAAAACAAACCCAAAATCCCTCCTGAACCAGTGACGAAGAAAAGATACTATATTTCATTGCCTTAATAACACAAACACTGTAAACATGTAATCAAAACGATAATTTCCACCAAACCCAAAATTCTTTTTGAAAGAAAATAGCTTCAGCTGCAACAAGCACAAAACCAAGCAAGCGAACGCGCAAACATAATACATAGCAAAATCCAACATTTTACAACGACCCATATCTGCAAATGAATGAAAATTCATAGATCGAGCTTCGAAATAAGCTTAGGACCATGAAAAATGAAAGTAAACGCTAAAACCCAACGAAAATATAAAATTAAAAACATGGGTTGAAGAAGAAGGAGATTGTACCTGCGCTGCAAGAGGTCGGGGGGTCCTTCTGGAGATCTTTGAGCTCCTTCAAGATCCGTTTTGAAGCCATGGATGAACCTCTTAGATCGTAACGGATCTAAAGGAAGGAAAAGAGCTTAAAGAGGAAGAAGAAAAGAGAACGAACTGGACGAAGTGTACAACAATAAGAGGAAGAGCAAGAGACAGAGAAATATGAATAAAATATTGTATTGTCAGTATGTGCGTGTGAGAGAGAGAGAGAGAGAGAGAGAGAGATTCCAAGAGGTTCTGCCTTTATGTGAATATGATTATATGGAATTGAGATTAATTTATGGCCGTTTATTTTGATGACTTCTGTTTGATTATGAATTTCAACGGCGGTGGTTGGATTTGGAAAGTGCGTTAATCATATCGACCTCAAATGGGTGGTTCTGTAGGACCCATTGGACCTACAAAACTCGGACTATTATTTGAGCACTTGGGCAACTCGGGCAGGTTCGAGGATCAATCTTACCCTAACCGAACCTTTACAATTTGGGCTCTAATCTGGGTTCAGGTTAACTCGAGTTAGGCTTGGATTTGGAGTTGGACTAACCCTGCAACTCTTCGGTATTTCTTAGTCTAAATTACTTTAAATTTATTTAAGATGAGAACTCAAATTTGGATGAAAAGGAGGGCTCACTGTCATGATCAATGAACCTAATCTTACAATCACCATTTTCAATCCTAAATTAATGCAAACTTAAAATTTAATTCCACAATTCAGCCTCCACTCCAAAATTAAAACAAATAGCACCAATTCCAATTCTGAAATTTTAACCATGCAAAATTGCCAACTAAATTACAAATTAACTCTTACAAAACAACATTAGCTCTAAAGTTCCAAGCAGACACCAGCATTCAGCATCCAAATGAATGGCTGGCATGTTACAATATAAAACTAATGATTCTTCTACTTTTCATACCCATTTGATTTATTTCCTCTGTCATTTATTTTCTCCACCATTCATTTTTCAGTTTGACATGACAGGATTTTCCTTCCCTATTTTTGAACTCTACAAGCTTAATATGAATTCTATCATGCAATTATATGGCATCATAAAATTCAAATGCACCAACTTGTACTTAGTCTAAAAACGAATATATTCTTGAATTCATCATTTTTTTTCTTCCCTTCAAACGAGGAGGATCAACAAAAGCACTAAAATTGAGGGCTTAAAAGGCGCATTATAATCACATAAACTCATCACGTTGAATTGTCTCAAAACGGAGAAAAACTTGTGTATATCTGTTTATGTTAGGTAAAAGTATTCTGTGACTAAATAGAAACTTGTGCATATTTGTTTCCGTTATGTGACAATATTCTGTGACTAAACAGTCCAATTAAAAAATAACAGGTATTTAGAATATGAAAACTGATCATCAAACAAGTGATTGTCTTTCTAAGAATCGATTATAGTAAGAAAATATGTACACATTAATAAGTAGTATCTCCAAAGGGCAGATATCATATTACATTAAAGAGAAACAGATATACTATCACTGTCTCATGGTCTTTGCCTCATTTCCTTTACGACGCAGACACTCTTTGCACCATCCATAAGTTGTCTCCCAATTTTATCACATCAATAAAAAGATGCTACACCTTATTTTTACAAAAGCAACGAAAAAAGATGTTACACCTTATATGTTGACTTTTTTTTATTTATCATTCTTTTCTTTTTTTTCTACAAGAAATGCAGATGGCAAGTTGTCAAGAACCCATAGACTCCAACTTCCAATCCATCAACAACCACAATTAAGAAGCTTTATAATATGAAGGAAAAAAAGAGAGAAGAAGAATGAAACTGATAAATAATTAAATTAAACAAACAAATAAATAAACTCAATTCCCAGGCCCCTTCTTAACTGATATTCCAATTGCATCAGAATGATCCAAAGCTTAAACAGGGACAAATGTTAGCCTGTTTTTAAGATGATATTTGCTCCCTCCAATTCTTTTTTGTAAAGGCTCGTTATAAATATTAAAGATAGATTAGGGAGATAATCCATTCTTTACTCTTTGGGTAACAAATGTGTGAGCTTGAAAAATTGCAGCATATATCCAGCTGACCAACTCTCTCTCTTCTACCATTAGCCTTAACACATATCAACGAATGTTGATCCTGCAATCAAATGAACAAACCCAGAAATTAATTAAGATCATTAGTGTATTCAATACTCAATTTGACGCATCAACTTGAAGAGTACATGCTGCTAAATATACGGACACATGCGAAGAGGATCATACGAGCAAACCTACACGAAAGGATTTGATCATGAAACTAACAAATGGTCTAAAAATATTATGTTACAACTATCATCTATATGAATTACGTCAGTAACCATTTGATATTGTGACACACAATCTCTTCTCTTGTGATTTACATTTTGCTGTAATCTTGTTCTAATTGCCATTCAGATACCATTGACTTGAACACATTATTTTCAAGTAATTTATGGATGTAATAATTCCTATTAAGAAAAAGTGAACCCGTCAACCCTAACAGTTAAAGAAATGTTATTATTAACTACGAAAATCTATATCATGAAGGCACATGCAAAAATCAAAATCAAAAAATTAAAAATTAAAACAAAATAGCGTACCATTTGAAGGTATTGATAGTGCACTTGGGCATGTCTCCAGCATCGACATTCTTCAACCTCACACCGCCACACAACACATTGATCTGCATCGTCCCCACCCTCCACCCTTGGATCACATACCCAACCCTCGTCTTCCCCTCCACCGTCACCTTTATCTCCTTGCTCTTGAACTGCCCCAGCAGCTTCTTCCCCACTGGCTGCTCCACTACCTTGTTCCTCACCCCGCTCTCCACCTTCACGTACGTCGTGTTCCGGTGCCGCTGCGTAAACCCCTTCACCTCCTTCGTACCTAGCCCCAATCCGCCGTCGTTCTCGTCCCCGATGCTCAGCGACATCTCGAACCCCTCGCTGTAGTAAATGTCCAATTTGGGATTTGGGTTCTTCACTTCCACGCTCGTCATCGCCTGGACGTCGAGGTGGGTCCCGTCGGACTTCGAAACGGCGTCGAATTTGGGGATCTGGAACGATATCAAGTAGAAGGCCGGGAGGCGCGGGTCGAAGAGGAGGTAGAAGATCCCGCCGGCGAGGGCGACGAGGATGACGACGATGAGAAGGAAGGCGCAGAATACGCAGCAGCATATTTTGCAGCAGCTGCCCCCTCGTTTTTTCTGCTTTTGGCGGAGAGTAGGCGGGTAGACGGGTTTTCGCGGCGGCGGTGGACCGGGTACGCGTTGGCCCGGGTAGTTTGGGGTCCTGTAACCCGGCGGTTTCTGGAGCACCGGTTTAACCGGGGATTGTTGGGCCATTTATTTCTCTGTTCTTAAATGTTGTTCCTCTGTTTCGGATAATTTTGCAGAGGAAAAAAAACAGAGAACCTCAAAATGTGATTGAGATTGAATGAATTTGCAGACAAATTGCGATTAATTTATGAATGTGAATTGCATTTCAAAGGAATTCGATTAGTGGGTATTGAAATTAATCGCAAGGACAGGAACAAAGTAGGAACAAAACCTTACAAATGGACATGAACAAGAAGAGAGTGGCAGCTCATTTTCTAAAACAGAGGAATTTGAAATTTCAGAATTTCTGATGAAATGGGTGGTGCAAAGAGGAAAATATCAAATGGGTTGTGAAATCTGTGGGGAAGATGGTGAATGGAGAAGAAAGGAAGCGAAGGGTTTTTTCGTTTTTTGTTGTTCTTATTTCTCGGGAAATCGGATCAGGAAGACAAGGTCGTTCAATTTATGAGAAGGAGATAAAAGAGATAAAAGAGAGGGACGAGTAAGCAGTAAGGTTGGGCCAGTGGGTCATTGAGTCGGGTCGGGGCTCCTGCAATTTAAGCGCGAAATTCACGCGCGCCGTTTAGATTCTGACCTGGCGCTATGAGTTTTGGACATTTGGTGGTGTTTTTTGAATGAAATGGTTTGTTTTTTTCCCGTGAAATCGTTGGGTTGCTTTGTTGGTTGAATGTTATGCTTGAATGGCCAAAAAACGGGGAAGGCTGGTGTACGATAGAATTTAAAAACAGTTTTTTTTTTCCCATTTCAAACGGTAAGAATGAAAGCAAAAAAAATCAAACCCTCAAGAACAACAAAAGGTGTGGCTTGAAGTTGAAAATGAGAGGCTCCCGCAGAAAATTTAGTCCAGCACCCACCCACCACCACAAATGCAAATTTAAAACTTAATTTGAATGCTTGCCAGTCTTCCTATGTATTAGTTGAGAACTATATATCAATCACTGTATGTAATAACAATCAAATGCTTAACCCATAAAATGTGTTCATAAATTTAGTATGTGGATTGTCACGTGTTAAAACTATAATTTTTCGATTATAAAAGTATATATATGGAGATTTAGGGTTTGCATCCATACATCAACCTATGATTTCAGTTGAAGCAAGCTACTATAGTACGTAATGCAATCAAAATAGGCATCTCGACCACGTAACATAATATCTTGAAGTGAGATTTTTTTTTTTTGGTTGAAAAAAGATGGTATTTCATTAAACCAAAATGAACATTATATGGTAAGAACTACCATGTTAACGGTGGCCTCGTTAAAATCTTCCCAAAGAAACAAAATCTCGAGGTAAGAAAGAGTACCACCAATGCTATTGACTAAACAGAATAGTCAAACAACTTATACGAAGCAAACCAACCTAAAACTCAACCACAAAACCTTTAAAACAACATCTCATCACTACGTAGAGAATAAGTAAAGAAAACTATAAAAAAAAACCCTAACCTTAGCTGTCAAGGCTCTCCTCGTGTGAATGAGAGAGCGACCCATATTGAAGTGATGGTTGATGAGGCAAATTATAGAGTGGCAATTATTTATATGTGTTACTATTAGAGTTTCTTTTTCTTCCCAATGGTATAGCTCATTTGCGTGCTCATATGAACTTATTTGACTACTTAATAAGTAATGTCAACTACAATAGTGACAGATTTCCAATTCATTAATTACCAAAAAAATGGTCCAATTAATTCCAATTTTAATTGGACAGAAACTGAATCTTGTTCAAGATTTTTACGCCATAACATTTTTTCTGATTTGCTCTTCACATTATTATTTTTGTGATCCTTATTGACGGAGCCGCATAAGAGGGTCATGGCTCCTCCAATTTACATGTGGTTCCTTGTAAGATTAAATATATTTATAATATTTCGTGGAAAAATTTGCAAAAGATTTAGATGATAGATCCAACTAAGTTATTAACATTCTTGACCAATTGATTTTTCAAGAATTAAATTGAGAAGGGAAAGTAAAGCATCTAACGAGGAGAAAGGGCCATCGTGCAACATTGGTTTTGGGTTTACAGACGGGAAAGGACAAGGAGAGCAAACAATGAGACAGTTCCAAATAAACTCATTGCTTAGTCTTACTAATTATTTAAATATAATATTGAACACAACTTATCTCAACAATCAGAGTGGCGCAGCGGAAGCGTGGTGGGCCCATAACCCACAGGTCCCAGGATCGAAACCTGGCTCTGATACGAGTGGCTTCCGATTAAATCTTTTTTTTCTGGGTCCAATTTTTGCATTATTTCTCCTTTATTCCTAATTATGTTTCCTTTTTCGACATTACCTTCTCTCACATCACGGAAACCATACTTCACCCAATTCATCAGTGCCAAATACCCTTTTATTTTCTTTTTAATATCATGATTAGGAAACTATCTAATTTTAATTTCCCTTTAAGCATTAGGTTTGTCAAGTTTTGCATAGATGTTACAATACATAACAAAAACCATGGATGAAATTACAAGGTTTTTAACCACCTCCCACTCTTTCACAAAGAAATTAAAGGATGATGGCAGAACTAGGTAGAGGCTACCATGGGTTCTAGTCTAGTTAGCCTTTTTATAAAATTAAAATATATTACATGTATTTTAATGTTATTCATCTCATAAAAACTTAGTAGCCCAATCAAATGTAGCCTTGTAATCCATTGTCCACTCAATTTTGTAGGTCTATAATCTTATATTAATTTGTTTGCTCAATTCAGAAACATAATCTCTTAATAAACACTCATGATTTTAACTCTCAACCTTCCCAATGTATACTTTTATTTCTAGAAAAACTATAGAAATAGTAAGTACCCAAACAAAACTTGATCCTTAGATTTTAAGCTAATAACTTTAGCTAGTCCGCTCATTGAAAAATTCCTGATTCTGCCCTTGAATAGTGACAGATTTCCAATTTCGTAACCACAAACTTTTGCACAAATTATTTGGCCTAAACACTAGAAACCTTTCTCTAACACCTTAATTCCACACCTCGTTTTTAGGTACCCTCTATCATTCCAGTTACATTGAAGACCATCATCGAGACATTTGCGATTGGTTGCGAACGAATTGTCTGCAACAAAGAAAAGAATAAAATTTAGTAACACAAGCCACGCTGCCGTTAGACTCTATTTATTGTGTAATTATTATTTGAGCCAAAAAAGAGCAATGCAATATTGCAGGTTGCAAGAGAACATGAGATGAGAAACTTGTTAAAAAGAAGCAGAAGAGCATGGTAAATTAATCTAAGCTCCTCCCTGTAGGAATCTCTCGCAATCATGCCGCATTCATGAATTTTTCCTACTCTAGTTTGACCAAAGTTAGGCAGAAGTGCTCCTGGTATTGCCCTAGCTTCGCCTGGATCTCCACAATGTCCTCAGCATTATAAGGTCCTAAATGAGAGATATTATAATACAAAGAAAAAGGATGTTAATGAAAGCGACCGTGAAACCAACCAAACCATTAAAGGGAGCCTTGCATTATTATTCAGGCACAGTCGAGAAGAAGGACAGATAGAAAAAGTATGGAGGGAGGGAAACATTATATTTCAGCAATGACATTGACTGGACAGATTTCACAGAGAAAGATTTATGCGATGGCTCCAACTAAGTTATTAACATTTTTGACCAATTGCTTTTTCAAGAATTAAATTGAGAAGGGAAAGTAAAGCATCTAACCAGGAGAAGGGGCCATCGTGCAGTGCAACATTGGTTTTGGGCTTAAGACAGTCACGATATTTACAGGCGGGAAAGGAGGGCAAACAATGACACAGAGTCTTACTAATTATTTAACTAAAATATTGAACAAAACTTATCTCAACAATCAGAGTGGCGCAGCGGAAGCGTGGTGGGCCCATAACCCACAGGTCCCAGGATCGAAACCTGGCTCTGATATGAGTAGCTTCCGATTTAACCTTTTTCACTTCACCCAAATTCATCAGTGCCTAATACCCTCTTTTTTCCTTTTCAATATTATGATTAGGCAACTAATCAAATTTTGATTTCATTTTAACTATTATTTTTCAAACAAAAACCATGGATGAAATTACAAGGTTTTTAACCTCCCACCCTTTTACAGAGAAATTAAAAGATAGAATGAGAGGAGGGTCTGAGTGTTACATTTCAAGATTTTTTATAAGCTACAACAGGACCCTTGTACAATCTCAGCTAGCAGCCTAGTCCAACAAAAACTAAAGCACTTTACCCTAATAACCCTGTACTGTTCTTCAAAACCCTCCCTTCTAAAGATCAAGGTGCTCACTACAGAAACTCGAAGGCACAACTGATAGCTGCAACCGCCCTGTCCATTCCTCGCCTGGCTTCAAGGTGATAGGTTTCTCGATCGCTGCCCCGTCCACACAAAGCATATGTTTGTACTCCTCATCGCCAAAATCAACCATAGATTTCGATTTCTTCTCCCATGGATTCCAAACAACTGTACATGGGGAAACAAAATTGCAAACACAAAGTCAAATATAATATCACCATCATATATATCTTAGGAGGGTAATGTAACAGATTTACACAAGTCATCTTTATGTTCGAGCTTGTCAAGAGAAGACTTGGATAGTTGAATATAAAATCTCAATAGTCCAATTCTTTCAAAGTTACTGGTTGGCAAAATAACATTGAATAGCTAACTTTCCATAAATACAATAAGTTGATAAAAATGTAAAAAAAAGTTAAAAATATGCCAGCTTACAAACATCTGGTAGTCCTTCCTTTCTGATTACATATGTCCGCTTTTTCTCATGATCAAGGACTGCAATTACATTTGGCGAACTTAGATACAGACGACTGACCTGCCGTGAGAAAGTTTTTGTATCTATAAGCCAAAGCCTTCATATTGCATCAACAATACTTGAAAGAAAGCAAAATTAGCTAATCTTTATTTCAAGCAGATCATAGAGTGGAGACTTAATGAGTTTGTATGAAAAATATTATGAATATAATGCTGTTCTTCCATGCTATTTTTAGTTGATATCACAGTACGCAGAAATGAAATAAAGACTGGTTTGTCAACTACTAATGTTTCAGAGTAACCTTTAGATTTGATTAAAAACTTTTAGAAATAACTGTACCATGAGTAAGACAATGAATTAAGTGTACAAATTGGATAACCTTTTCACAGAATATGTGAAAAGAATTCACCATTTTGTTATAGTTGGCGAACATTTGTCATTCCTTTACATTTCCTGCCCAACAAAATCAACGGGTGCTGTGCTGGACATTTTCATCACTAAGGTGTGATTTTCCAACTCTAGGGTTTCCTGCATTATATGTAAAAGCAATTTCATTTCATATATATAAACTATAATTTTTGTACCTCAGATTCAAAAGTGATGGCATCTCCTTGTTCTGTAAAACGTTTTCTTTCGCAAAGGTTGTCTAAGTAATCAAGTGTCTCCAGCCCTTCTATCCTCACCTCACTAAGGAAAGATGTCATTTTCACATAAATAAATCAAATTGCAAGAGTGTAATGGAACCACATATGCAACAACCAAACTGCAGATGATTGTGAATTCAATTATATAAAGTGCTACATACCTTATGTCAGAAACCAAAAAATAAGTATGGTAGGCAAACGAGAAACTGAACGGCTTGCCATTGACATTCCTAACTCGTGATGTCATGGTCAGATATCCACTTGTTGCAAGAGACACCCTAAGGCGAAACTCAAAGCTGGAAAGGGAACAAAGAAATGAGAAGACAATTTTATGGGTTCTAACTAAATTCTTTTAATAATTAACATTCTGTTATGACTTCAAGTCATTTATTAATTATTAACTAAATCCTTCCAATAATTAACATATTGTCACGCGGATACAAACTTCAATCAACAGGGAGGAAAAAAATAGTTACTAGTTTTATTTAAGAAGGCAGCATCAAAGCTCATACCTATGAGGCCAGCACTTCAGGTCATCTTCAGATGGTTTAAGCAGTAGATCAATGAAGGATTTTCCATGGGAATCGTTTGGCGGATGCAGCTGAGGATTATCATCAATCGCCCAGACCTTGTTCCTCGCAAAACCATGCTGTTCAAGTGATCCACAGTTCCCAAACTTCAAACGCATCAAGGTATAAAAACATCAGATGGAGTTTTTTATTTTTTGAAAAAAGTATCATTGTGTATAGAAGAATAATTGATAATACCTGCGGAAAACAAATGGGAATTCCTCCTCGCATTGCTTTTGGAGGCTTGAAGATTGCCTACGGTTGATGAACCACATGTTAAAAGAATCTTTTGTGTAAATCTCTAGTGGGTAAGACATGTTTTCAACTCTTATTGTCACAATTCATTGTGTGAAATGTCAGCCCCTATATCTCTTGCATAAAACAGAAAATGAAATTGAAAATTTGCTCCAACAGGAAACTGATTACAACCACATTCATCAACTATCAAGTAGCACTGGTTGGATAATCCCAAAACAGAGTACTTAGTCAACCCAGTTTTACTTCATGTCCAGTTGTGCATAAAACATTAGTTCTTGACCAGTCAACAAAGTCATATGAATTGAGAACTCTAGTCTGACCTGGAAAATCTACAACCCCTGAAATCTGGTAGTTTACATATTTTGTGATTACTCATCTGAATAATTAGACAGACAAAATATTTGTTCAATCACAGAATTATAAAAATAACAATAAAAAGAGAGGATGGAAAATATATACAGTTGGAATTGAAAAATTATACCTTACTACTAGTGAATAGGAGTTCTTCCCCGTGCTTATTCCTCCAGGAAGTGACCTGTCCTCCATGTAAGCTAACCTATATTATCAGAAGAAAAATCCTTAATCCCAAGCACACTAAACACCCCACTAATACAGAAACCAAAATGGTATTTGACCACAATTTCTCTCCCAATACAAAAATAAAATAAAATAAAGGATGATTCTAAATTGAATGCTTCGAAAAGAATCAACTTACCCGGGCTGAAGCCCCTTGCTGGTTCTGAAGCAGGACTTGTTCTACGCCATTCCAATCCTTTGTAATCTCAATTGCTGCCCTATAATCCCAATCTGCTGCTGAATGCCCCATTTTGTAAAAACAGACAGAATTTTACCTCTCTAACTCTGCTATCTTAATTAGACACCTTGTGCCTTCCAAGCTCTAACCAAACCTCTCTAAAACAAAGGACACTGGCAGTGATGGATTGAAAGGAGCAAGAGTCCCACTGATATTGTTAAAGATCTAAACTTAACCAAACACCTAAACCTGTCATAAAGCAGTGATCTTTTCAATTAAAAGAGAAAACCAAACTACCATTACTTCTCAGATCCAGAAAACTCGACTTGTAGATAACACCAAAGTGCTAATGCCTGTAAAATGCCATTGGAAACGTAAAGTCCAAATCCAGAAACCAAAGAAGTGAAATTTGGCAGCTGCACAGGAAAACTCCAATACCTACCTAAATTTCATAAAAGAAAGTCTCCAGATATTTGCAATATATCATCAGATGAAGACAATCAATTTAATCCAGAATAAAGGGCTAAAATCCAAATATGTATTTCTCAACTGTAACATGCCTTTTTTTCTTTCAAAAACCCATCAAAGGAAAAGAGAACAAAAAGAACTCAATTCTATCAAGAAAGAACTGTATCTGTAATTACTCTAAGCTACCCTATAAGTCTAACTTGTAATAACACCCACCAAGAATGACATCAAAAACTAGAATAAGCAAGTCCCTAAAAGTCAGAAACTTTCAGGCAGAAGCCTCTTTAAGTACGTCACATGAACCAAAGGACTCAAAACTTTCAATCTACACAATTCCCACTCAAGTCAAGACCTTGAATTTGAAAGAGCACCAACTGAGATCATGTTCAAGTGTTAAGGCAACCCTTTTTCCCAGGTAGGAAGCATTCAGTTTGTGTATGGGACTTGCTATTAATAATATAGAAGAAACTAATGCTTAAAGAAACCCAAAAGAAATGGGAAATAAAACAGACAAATTATAAAAGAAACAAAGGTGTAGGTGGGGAGGGGGCAGGATCGTGGAAGCATGGGAAGAAGTGAATAAAAATGTGAAGTATGTTTTGATGATAAGGAGGAAAAGAACAGTCTTTGTTCTTCTGTTGCTCTCGCAGAGATCTATGACGTGGAGATATGTGAAGTACGTGAAGACAGTCCAAGCGGTCAAAATTTTAAAATACAGGAATTTTGAGATTGAGACTCTGCAGATTTTTTTATTTTTTTATTTTTGCAGATTTTAATGCGTTAAATTATGAATGTGAGTGAGCCATTCATTTAGACTTCACCAACCAACCTCGCCATTCATTTTATTTTTTCACTTTGATTATTATTATTATTTGCTAATGTCAACTTTGAATATGTCATGGAAATGAAATGACAAAAGCTTTGTGTCCTCCTATTTTTATTGTGGGCTGTTGATTTCTTTATGGTCAATAATTTGGATATTTGGCTCATTGAGGTGGTGGTAGTAGTAGTAATACGTGATTGATTTTTTTTCATTAGCAAATGCAATATTTCATATTATTAAGGTCATATATATATATATATATATATTATATTGTTAAATTGTCAACTGAGACTATTTGAGACATGTTTTTCTTTTAAATGAATGATTTTGATTTTACACATCCTGTCCCAAGAAAATTAACACAAAATATATGATAATACTAACTGCATTTCTTATCAATCAAAAACAAACAAAGAAAAGAATAACTTCACTAAAAGGACTACCTCTATAGAGCATTAGGAGTTGCCTGATGAAAGTCTCTCTTTCTATTTAATTGCCAATAAGATGAACAATTTCTTTTCTATGTATGTCAAGTTGTCAACAATAGGATACTTGCTATTTAATAAGCTAACATTATTGGTTCAAGTGAATGATAAGTCAATTGAATCATGGTAAATTTCTTTTTATTCCTCGTAATCAAAAGAATAAAGATGGTCATTAGAGATAGAACTTGGTTAATCAATCTAATTGAATAATCAGGGTTGTCGAGAGGAGGTTATACTATTATAACTCTTTAACAATTTTTCAGATCCAAGTATCCTTTAGATGTTCGATTCAGTTTCACTTTAAATCCAAGTACCTCATGAGTCGGTTTTAGAATCTAATTCTAGGTCCATTTTAGAATTAAAGTCCGTTTTATAGTCAAATTTTGGGTCCGTTTTGGAGTCGAACCCATCTTCCTCTATCTCCTCCAAAATGCCCCTCAGGTTCAACAGATGTTCAATTTTAAAATCGATCTTTGCGCATCCAAAGCATTTAGATCTTCCCACATTGAAAAAGAGCTAAATAGTAGAGTCTAAGGCCCCAATTGGTTCATGGGAAAGAAGACTTGGGGATGAGAAATCAATTACTTTCCCATGTTTGGTAAGTCCAGGCATGGGAAATCGTTGCCTAGCCCATGAGAAAGTTGGGGGGAAAGTGAAGCCATCCTCCCAACTTGGGTTTTGTTTTCTCTCCTCGTGGGAAAATTCAGGAAAATGAGCCAACATTAAATAAACATTTTTCATGACCATTTTGTCTTCATTAACAATTTAGAATTACAATATATCATTAAATGCATTCTTTATATATATATA